TAAAAAAAAAAAACAAAACACAGTCATAAATGATGGCAGGCACTTTTTACTGAAATACTGGTAGTTTTACATTCTTGACATGAATAATTGGATATGTCATATGTGAAGCTACCTAGAAATAAAATAGAGGTCATAAAATGTAAAGACATGATAGGATGCATTTATAACAGCATAAACCAAGCTGGCATTTTAATGTCTTAAGTCAGCCCATTTGCTATCCTTGGCCATTGATCTTGGCTGGGAAAGTTCTATGCCAAATTTAAACACATTTTGGAGCTAGAGCCATATGATGAGAAGGTGATAAGATTTGGTTTTGTTAAAAATATTCTGGTTTTGACTGTTACAATTAAGCACAGTAAGAGCACTGGAGGTGGGTTGTGGTATGTTCTTACAAAACCTCCTCAGAAATTCTGTGTCCACCTTCCCAGCAGGTGACTTCCTGGTGTAACTTACCCTGACAATTGTGATTGCAGCTCACACAGAAGAATGTTTCTCAATAGACATGAGAGAGAGTTTAGTTCAGTGTTAGCTCCATGGGATGATTTGAGAGAGCAGTTGTTGGGAAAGAGTACAGTTTGGGAATGCTGRTGCATTTAATGAATTCCTCTGGAGGCATGGAAAAAGGGGTTGGGAGAGGCACTGACTCCTAAGAACAAGCTCGAAATCTCATTAATTTCAACTGGCTGTATAGGTGATTTTAATTACCATGCTTGAACTCAGATTTAATATGGCACAGCAATAAAATAAGTTTTTATGACTATCTAAGTACTCACTGAAATGGTATCACCCTCCACTCCCCCAATTTTTCCAACTAGAGCTGAGCATAGAAGCCACATGCTTTAAAAAAAAAAGTGCCTAGAAAGGGGGCAAAAAAATCCTGATTCCATAGGATTGCCAGCACGCATGTGTGGGGTGGTTTTTTGAAACACCTAAATAGCAGAAGCATTGGCCACGTGTAACCTGGCTTGTGGCTGTGCTTTGCTGTGTGTCTGGAAGTGAGGCAGGCTGGGCACTGTTCTGTTCTTCCTGAGTTTTACTGGGTAAACTGGTATGCAGGGCAAGAGGAATCTACCCGCTACCTGCATTTCCTTTTAATAACTGCACAGTTGTTGGAATGTCCGACTGGTGCGTTTTTGGTGGGTTGTTTCACGTCAGTGCAGAGCCTGGGAATATTCACTGAAGTCTTATGTAAGTGGAAATGTTTTGCATCTTCTATTTTCAATGTAGTTTTACTGAAAGCCCTTTGGAATTTGAATGAACCATTCCAGAWTGTGATTTTCAAAAGAGAAGTCTCTAAAAATAAAATCTTCCCAATMTTTTSAGCTAATGATATCAATRYTGGTRTGATAATTGAARCTAACATTGCTGGAATAGGTGTGCTTCTGGATAAGTATCTGTCCATGTTTGTTTGAAACTCTTAGGAAACATCCAAACCTGGTGAGGCAAGAATGAAGGTTGATGTATTGATGGACATCATTACCTCACCTGGATTTAAGGGAAAGGAATTGGTTTTAAAGTCAATTCTGCAGGGAAAAAGAGAACATTGAGGATAATTAGTCCTGTACTAGCATAGGGAAAGGATGAGKGTTGGACTGGTGTCTGAGTGAGGTTGAGAATGCAATCTGCAGAATACTGAGCTGCTGAGCAGCATTTCTCCCATGGCAACATTTACTGAGGACCTCTTGAGGCAGCGAGAGTTGTGCAAGTGCCCAACCCGCTGTTCATACATGATCCCCTCTGTCTCCTGAATGAGGATATTTAGAGGGTGTGATGCTTATATCCATGAGGCTCTGTGTTCACAGTAAGAAAAACCCTCAGACATGTAGCTACTGATTTATTCTGATGTAGATAAACTTGTACCATTGGATAGAAACATGGGCTTCCACGAAAAACAGGGTGATGCTCTAGCCTTCATACTAACTTCTATTTTTTGTGGAAAAGGAACCTGTAGATAAATTGTTGCCCTTTCTGACCAGGAGATAGCTGGTACAAGACAATCTTGCTGAAATTATCTCAGCTGGAAGGAAAGATGAGTTTATTTTATGTAGCAYTGGGGGAAGGTTCTCAGAAATATTCAGTCAGTCAGTTACCAGAGTGGTAAATGAGATCTCGAGAGCYGGAGCTCATCAGTGTGCAGTGAGAGGGAAGTGGGAAGGAGAGAGGCTGCGTCAGGGCTGGGTGTTTGTGCTCCTGATGGAAAAGTGCAAATCATTTCCTTCCCTTCTGCTGCTGTCATGGTCCATCACTTTAGTCCATTTTCACCTTGCTAAGGGATTCTGGATGGGCCTTCCTGCTTTGCACCTAATTAATCTCTCACAAGCCTGTTCTTGCAGCCTGGCTGCCTGGGATGGTCCAGATCTTACATCAGTGCCTCACAAACAAAATRCCTTCTTTTCCTTTACCTTCCTTTTCCTGTGTTCTTTTACCCCAAGCCCAGTCAAGCAGGTTGAAGATACTCTTCCCCAGCCTTTGAAGAGGACATAGACAGGCCCTGCTATTTCAGGAAAATATCCCCTTTCGTCCAGTGGAACCACTCTCACACTGCAGTATGGAAAGCTGTTTATGTTTTCAAAAATGCGAAGTGCCCACAAAAAAATGCAGCAGGATTTTGCTTGTCAGAAACTGTTCTGCAACTCAGAGCCTCTACAGTGGAACAGGCAAGCAGGAAATCACTGGGCACCTTTGAAAAATGGCATACCCAGGCACAAATAAAAGTGTAAGATCAGAGATGGAAAAGGCACATTCTGTGGTGTAAAACATTGCCATGAGACTGTGAGACAAAAGAATTATTTTATTGAAGTTATTTTACTGTCATATGTCAAAAGATTGTGAATATCAGATACCTGGTGCACTGGGTTCTAACAGCCAAACACTTTATGTCTGGTTTAAAATGAGTCCTTGTGATAAAATAACATGTATAGGCTATATAACARATAACACCGGGTGGCATAATGTATTATCTATAATGGAAAAACATAGATTCTGTAAAATGATACCAGTGGAATCTAATATTTCTTTGAAATCTATTTCCTGGATAATATTTCTCCTCAGAAGCTACGTTATCTCCYTTCTGCTCTCTCTTTGTGGGGACAGGCTTGGTGTTCAGCACAGGATATCATCCCARTCTGGGAAATGGAAAGGCACTAAAATAGATCTGAGGAGTCCCTGTGATAGATCMGTGCTCAGGGGAGTGTCCATCCAAACCTGGCAGCTCTCCTGGCCTGCACCTCACCTGTAGACTCCGATCTCCTGTGCTGTTCTACAGAACACACTCTGGGAGTCTTCTGGGGACATACAGGCAGGAAAAAACGAAGAAAAATCACTTATTTAACTCCCCCCTGCTGACAGCTTCCTTAATAAATATTGTAAGGAATTTCTCTGTTAAGAGCCACCCAGTAATCTAATTTGCAAGCCCCAGTGATATATTCAGCAGCCAGCTCAGGGGAGGTGTGTTTCTACTGTCAGAATCACATGAGCAGGGAATAAAATTCTGAGCTCTCACTGAAAGCTGCAGTAATTTATGATGAGTTGTTGGCTTTTATTTTTTCATACTATTTTTGACTCAGCTGAACAAAGAGGGTAGAACTGTTACTGAGTTTACATTGATTCGTTTTTTCCCACACTAGGCTCCCCTACCCAGTACTTTCACAAGATATAACAATACAAATACTGTACATTTAAGTTTYGCATATTTCTAAAGAAATCATGGAGTGACACTCTTGTATAAYTATGAGTGATGGATCCTGGATCATTTCAATTGTCCTGTTCTTGACATGCTCCTGAAGGAGTTAAGCTTTTGCCAGTCTGCTGAGTTTAAATAATCTCACATTTATTTGTCAGCTCCTGTGTTGTCTGGATGGGGCATCCTTGGGCTCTTCCTTCTCTCCTCCTGGGCACCATTTAAGGAACGTTCTGCTCTAGTGTACACAGAAAGCAAAGCAAAACCCAAAAAGCCTTCATGAGATCCCAGCTGTACAGCCAAGGTCAGGCTGTTTGGTGAGAGAAGTGATTCTCCACAGCAATGTCATYGTGGTTGTGTCCCAGTTCCCTGCAATGGGAAAAGCTTCCTGTCTYGTGTTCCATCTGTATCAGGTCCATCTTCTCAGCTGAGAAGGATCAAAAGGGTTGTCTCAGAAATCAATCAAAGAAAATAAAGCAAAGAGTGAGAAAGCCAGAACAAAAGCTCTAGGGTGTTAGTCCACAGCTGTTCAGCTGGGAGAAGATGCAGTGGTTGGGTGTCACCAGCCCTRAAAGAGTTTCCAGTTCCATTTCACAGTTAATTCCATCTGAGCTGTTGTCAGTTCATGATGAAAACCTCTKTTCTTGGGGTGCACCTGGCTTCCCTCACCTGTGCTTTAAGAACTTGGAGCTTACAGTGGCCACTGATGTGCTTCATCCATAGCCAGAGACATCTTCTTCAGGGAAGAAAGATTTTTGGGTGTCCACAGGGACTTTACCTTAGTGAAGAGCTTGCAGGCATCACTTCCTTTCTCTTTGTGCAGACCTTGAGAGGAAAGCCAGGTTGTCAGCACTCTCTGGCTTTCTTCAGGGTGCACATGGGCACAGCCCAGTAGATCTCTCAGAGCTTTTGGAAGTAAGAAGGAATTTGATATCTATAAAAAGGAATTGGTGCTGTCTCTATCCAACCTTTTCATCTACGTTGCCTTTTAGTTCTGCATCATCAAGGTTTTTGAAGATGCACCCAGGGAGCACAGAGTGGTGCTTTCTTTGTTGCTTCTTAGAATTCAATCGCTTAAAACACACTTCTTCATTTTCTTTTTACCTTCCTGCTGCAGCCTTCAACCCTGGGAAGCAAAGACCAAGGTTTTGTAACTGTCTCTGTGGTGCAGCGCTCTGGTGAGGAATCACTGTCAATGTTCATTTTTCCTGTAGAGGAACAGGCGAGATGCATTCAATGTGTTCTTCATTTACCTAAAGCTGTCTGATGTTGATGTGACCCTGCGGTGCAGGTGCTGCATTCCCGTTCTCTTCCCTTGCAGCGAGAAGTGCCGATACACCCTGCGCGGCCACAAGGAGGCCGTCAACAGCATCGAGTTCCTGCCCTTCTCCAGCACCGCTCTCACCAGCTCTGCCGACAAGACCGTSTCTCTCTGGGATGCCAGGACGGTAAGCAGCCTTTGCCTTGGTTTTTCCTGAATTCAGGCAAAGTGGGGACGTGTGTGGCATGAAAAAAAATGAAACCCAGTGTGAAAACTAGATAGAAAGTAAGGGTSATGTGCCAGTAAAACGCTCACTAACACATTTGTTATCTTCTGACCAAAAGTGTCACCATACAACATTTCCTCTMGAAGGGATCTGCCTCCCCTCCTCCAGAACTCTGCTGATTGCTCACGGACTATGCATTATTTTCTCCATAATATATCACTGTWGGTAGTGACAGAAACTCTGCATCTCTCCCTTTGTTCTGCTCTGCCCTCATTCTTTGGAATAGGTATAAATGGTTTGAGTACACTGGGGAGTGCATTTGTCCCTGCTGCTTTGCAAGCCAAATAKGCAAATTTTGTTCAAGCAGAATTTGAGAACAAGGCAAGAGGAATCTTCTTCCTCTTTCATCAGCAAATCTAATAATTATTGCTGTTTCTGTGGTATGGAGGAACTCTTGAGGTTCTCAATTGTACCTTCAGTTGGTGTTACAGGCACCCTGCATTTCTCAGTGTAAACGTACACGATTCCAGCCTGGAATGGAGAAGGTTGCATTCACAGAAGGGATTTGGGAGGAAGCAGGCAGAGCTATTGCTGTGGATTAAATGATGCTGTCATCAGAGCTATACAAACACAGGATAAGAAAAACTGCCATGGAAATGACAGTGGAATACTTGAGATGCTCATTAGGCAATTTCTATTTATGGATCGTAGGAACAAACTGAATAGAAGGTCATTTAATAATAATAATAATCCTGGTCAGAAAGCACAATGAGTTAAAATGAAGCTAGTCAAGACTCATTATTCCTAAATGCATTGGTTTGTAGGAATATTTGATATCCAAATATGAATAATTCAAAAYGAGGAAAAAAATTATTGAAATCCAAACAAAAGTGAAATGCTTAATGGAAAAATAGATTTCTGCTTTGTTTTGTTTTCAATAAACCCTGCAAGAAACTTTATCTTGCAAATATCTCAGTAATCTCCTGCTCATAGCAAATTAACAGAGTCATCAAGGAGTTTTCCTTTGACAAAYAGAAGGGAAAAGCCTCTATATTTGCTTACCAGCATTGTTTTTCAGCTTTGGGTAATTTTGCTAAGTTAGGAAAGACCTTTTGTGAAAAGAAAACGTTGTGTATGGGATTTTGTTATGTATTTATGCTGTTGATTTTTTTCCCTGTTCAGTGGGAAATCTTGCAGGTTTGGGATAAATGCCCACAGTGAAACATCACTTGAGGTGAATCCCTGTGAAGACACCTCTAAATGCTGAATGATATTAAATGTTCCCTCCAGAAAGAAGATTAATTATTTTGTCCCATTAATTGGGAATAGAGTATTTTCTCACCTCTGTGAGATCAATTAGCATCAAGGAGTACATTTAAGATTATTTTAATGAAACAWGAAAACCATGCTTGGGTTTGTTTTCTCATAAATCAGATTCCTATTGCTAATCACATKTTGCTCTTCAATCATTAAGTGCAGTCAGCTCTTTATTATTAAAGATAATGGATACAGAGAACTGTAAGTCAGAGCAGTGTAAGTTGAATGGACAATGAGCTCTGGATTTGGGGCAGGATGGAACATAAATCTTTGTAATTACCAAGCTGGAAGTATAATGCAGCCTGCAGACTTTGGAMACACAGGGTGTTTCTTTTTCCACTTTATTTTTTTTTCCTGCATAACAGAGAGCAAGATCTCATGGTTTAAAAAATCTACATCACATTGACTTTAAAATTAAACCTAAGATATATGTTGCCTACAGCAAAGTGAGAACAGAGAAAGATGAATAGCACTTGTGGCTCTTTTGAAACATTGAGGGAGAGTTACAGATTTGGTGTTGGATTTGGACAGGACACACGCTCACGCTGTGCCAGACACACAGTAGATCAGATGTGGACACCCAGGCTTCAGTTCACTGGTGGGAATTTCGTGCCAGTGAAGCTGATGGCTCTGGCGCCAAGATAAGCTGTGGAATTTATTCCTCTTTGTGCCAGTTTCATAGAAAGAGAAGCACGTTCTGGCTTTTCACCAGAGCATTTCCTTACTGACACACCAGGGAGAGCATCTCCACTCATGAATTGCAAAGTGTGTCCAGTGATGAATGGGAGAGGTGCAAAAGAGCCCCTGACCCCCTGAATACAAGTTCCCCTGCCTGGGTTAATTCCTCCCATGATGAGGGACCTGCCACTCCTCTGCATCTCCSACAGCCTCAGGAGCCATTTCTTGGGGCTGGTCACATTTGTCTTCACACCATTTGAGCCAAGCTGAACCTCTGCACTTTTTCAGACTGATGAGATACCAAATATTTATACACTTAAATAATTAAATTCAAGGGTGGAAAAGATGTACTCACATTTTTCATTCTACATGTTTGAAACTTATTGATTTAGTAACTATCTCATCTGCTTTCTGATTTTTGAAATGTCAGGTTCTATAACTGGATATTTCATTTTTGAAAACGTTGTGGAGAGACTGTCATTTAAAAGGCAGCATTCAGTAGTACTGCCCTGAGGAACGTGTCCAGCAAGGATTTGGGATGAATTCTGTGCGTCCTTAACAGGACAGGCCCATTCACATCAGTGACACTGTTCTTGTGAACAGAGTTCAGAACATACCCAGCTCTGTAAAAAGTCACAGTTGTACAATGCTCTTTTTCTATTTCATTTTGTGAAATAATAAGCATTTGAGATATTGTTTGATAATTCTTGTCCATTTTGGTCTCTACTGCTCACTGATACTCAAGTTTAATATTTTAGTTATCCAGAATATATTTCTTTATRCAGTGCAGCTCAGTGATTTAAGGTTTTACTGTGCTCCTTTTCCAAAAGATTGCTGCATAACACAAATAAAAGGATCCCATTCCCACCCCATTATCAAACTAATRCCTCTGACATTCAGGCAGGAAGGCATCAAGGATGTCAACTTTTATCTGTTTGGGTCAAAGATGACTTGAGCAGGGTACAGCAGCGCAGCAGAACAGTGACCAGATGCCAGTTCTGGCTCTGCACATCAAATTGTGTCCTTGTCAGTAATTTGTGGGCTGAACAGCAGAATCAAAAGTTAGAAGCTCCAAGGTAGTGTGGTCCTTGATGAATAATGCAGGCAACAATCTCGTAGGAAAAGGGAAAAAAACAGAATTAAATTGCCCACAATCCTGCCTGAACAGAAGCAAGAGGCTCCCAGGAATAACCGGGCTCTGGCCATTTTCCTCCTCAGAAAGTCCTGCAGAGTTTCCCGTGCCCCAGATCGAGGGAGGGCAGTGGGAATGCAGGCAGAGCCTCCTTTCAGGCTCCTGCAGGGATATCTGTGCCTGGCTGTGGAGAAACTGCATCTCTCAGCCCCTGGGAATGGTTCCTGAGTGTGCAGCACCTCCCTTCATTCGGCAGGGCAGGCTCTAGGGCTGCACCACACCCAGAGGAATTCATTAGGATGGAGTAGTCAGGGAAAAGGGGGGGAGGAGGCTTCTGTAGGGCCGCGTGTTGTCTTCATGTGGCGTTGGATAAAAGAGGTTCTTACACAGAGCCCTTTTTAGAGCATTAGTTGCTAATAAATTGCAGCTTCTGTGCTCCCAGTGTCTGCTTATCATGGTCTGCTAATGGCTCTCGAGCATTAGCTGAGTTTGATGGAGTTCCCATGCAATTAGGGCTCTGGGAAACAGCAGGGAAACCCAAATGAATGTGCCACCTGGTAGGAGAAGCAGCAACACTCGGCTCCCCCAGCACCACGTTCTGTGCAGTGTTACAGGGGAGGTTTCTGCCTGCTCTGCTCTGCTTTGCCTTTTCACGATCTGCCCCACAGAGATCCCAAAATGCATCCAAAGAAATGGCAGAGTAAACCCCAAGAATTGGGGGGAGGTCATTTGCATTTTTGCCTTTGTAAAAGAGCTCTGGTTGAGGGCATTTGAGTCATTTGAGGACAGCGGCCATTTCGAAGGGCTTTTCACTCTGTGTCCTACCCGAGAATAAATAAATCCATGCACAGGGCAGTTTCTGAGCTGTTGGCTGAGGTTTCCAGCTGTGCTGCAGCATTTTAATGATGAGCACTTGGCTGCCTGTGTGTTTCATATGGATGTAGAATAATTACAAGGATGCTGATCTAAGCTGCAGCCTTGCAATTTTCTCCTTCACAATACAGCCCATCCTCTCCCACCCTGGGATGTCTTTGGCCTGGGACAGCCTTGCTGTGATTCCTGTTGCAGCTCAAAGCTGGTTAACTTTTGGTTAAATTCAGGGAAGTTGTCCCAAACTGGTAATTTCCTCAGATAACCTTTCTAATTTATATTCTTCTAATRAAATTATCTTTTAGACCACTTATTTTCCAGTGCTTTTTATCGCTATTTAGTAATTTTTTAATTAGTAATTCCTGTTGTCATTTTGTTTCTTCCATGAAATATAAAATAGCTTTCAGACATTTTATTTTTCAATATGGATTTTGTCAGAACCTTTTTATCGGTAGATTTAAAGCACATGGGAACACCCAGAACTTTGCAGGAATTCTGCCTGTCTGTGGTGGGGGTTTCTGTGCCYGTGTCCCTTTGGAATTCATGAGACAAATTTCGGAAAAATGACAGAGTATTTAAGGATTAGGTGCATGGGACAAGCACTGAGCAGCCTAAAGGGAGTGATTTTGAAAAGCAATCTGGTTGTCTTTATAATTTTTGGCCTATTCCAGTTGATTTATCCCCAGGTAAACACCTTAGACACAAAATTATCAGTCAGCATCTCCTCAAGGTATTGGATTTGTCAGTTTTATTTGAACCCTTTTGAACTCCTGAGGAATGAATTCATGAGCCGAGTGGATGGACAGGATGGGTCATTTAAAAAACCTTTGACAGGCAGTTTAAAGTCCAAATCAATCCTCTTCAAAAGTAGGTCAAAGATTGAAGTTGTCAGTATTGGAGACAAAGAGCTCTTCCATGCAAACTCCAAATCTCCCAGTGCAATTGAATTATTTTGCTGTAAATA